TCGCCCCCCCCCCCCCTCCCCCCCCCCCCCCCCCTCGTCGAATCTCACCTGGAGTTTGCTTAACGGACCTGACTGCATGTTGTATTTTGAGTGGTTAGAACACAACCGCAACAAGCAGCAGTTTATTGACGGCGGTGCTCATTTCTGTCCTAATTATCATGTTTGTGGGTTGGAGGGTTATAAGTGACCTGGCTTGTGGCTTTTTATTGGGATGACTGTATTCTGAAGTGGTGGTCTCAGACGCTGTTAAAGGAGGCATTTCATGATCAACATCAGCACACTCGTTCTCCGTCTCAGGGTCCCGGATCCTTCCTAGCATCACCTATCAGGGACTCTCCTGGCCCCATCGGTCAAGGACCGCCACCACCTGGTCCTGGACTCCATGATCCACTCTTCCCTCCCGGACCTCACGGCCGCTTGCCACCCGGTGGTCCCTACAGACCTCCGAGACCACCCCTCTACCATCCAGCGGCCGGACCCCATGGTCCTCCTCCGAATGTGCCTCTTCCTCCTCCTGGGCCTCCGCTCCCCTCCAACGGGCACCCGGGTATGCCTCTGCCTGGGCCGATGGTAGGAGACTTTGGCCCCCGCCCTGCCAATGGACACTCAATCCACCCCAGGCCCGGCCCAGGCCACATCATCGATCCTCTGTTTCCACCGCCACCGCCGTTCCGTCCACCTCATCATTTTGGGCCGATGCCACATGGTATGTTCTGCCCGTTCTAGTCTCATTGGTTGGATCCTCGTACACAGGCAAACAATTAAGCACGCTAGACCCGCAGTGTAACTCCAGCCATAGTTTTTTGTTTTTTTTTTCCCGAACCAAGTACAACACAAGACTTGAACTAATTGAACATACTGTTTTAGTCTCTGATTGTTGTACCACCTCCTTTGCAGGTCCTCGTGGGCTTTTGGGACCGCGCCCACCATTCCCTCCTGACATGCGCTTCCCAGGCCCGCGCGAGCACAGCGGCCTCCCGGCGAACATGCCTCCTGTTGTCCCGCCACATCCTGGTCACAGCGAAGCCTTTGGTCAGCCTCCAGCCGGCGCTCCTCGCACCTCGGCAGGAGGTCCACCCCCAAAGCGGGAGGCGTCTCAGGACTCAGCGAGGCCAGATATGGTCGAGCCTTAAAAAAGAAAAACGCCACCAACTGTGGCAATGGACTTGAACACTCCCCACGAACATGTCATGTTAAAGTCCTATATATATATATATACCATGACTTTCATATCTCAGCCATGAAATAAAAACTTAAATGCTATTTTAAAACATGGTCCTTAAATTTAAGCATTATCAGTGATTGCGTGGAAAAATCCACATACTCAAGAGCTGAAAGGGTTGCCACTTTTTTTTTTTTTTTTGGAACATCTTATTGTGCAATAATTCACTGTATGTCAAAGGATTTGTGTTTGAAAATATAGCAATTGCTTTTTTAAAGGTTCTTAAATGTCATTTCCTGTGGAAATTATTTTTTAAAAGGCGGGGATAGAAAGGTTTAGCTTCTAGCATTTCAGCATCAAACATTTTCTCAAAAGTTTCCTTTGGAGCTGACTGTAAAGGAAATGTGTCATTTGATGGCCAGATGTATAACTTATTTTACTATGTTGGTAGAATCCTTTCAATAATAAAGAATGCAAAATCATTTGGTCTGACATTATCCAAGTACAGTTTGCGTACAAGTAACTTTTACATGCTTTCTTCCCTTTAGGGAAACCAAACATTTTAGCTGTCACTGAGGGTACTCAAATCAGATAGAATGTGATTGAAGAAAAATAAAAGATGTCAAGAAATTACCAAAAGCAAGCCCGGTAATGAAAAACTACCAGCAAGATTTCTCTCTGATAATTTACAATGCAAATGCTTTTTCTCCATGTGCGCACACTCCCAGGAAGCAACGAGGCGCTCTAAAGTGGTCACACCGGCGTTGTATTTAAAGGGAAGACTCATTCTTGGGCTGTAGGTATGAAAATGAACTGAGCACTCTATTTCTCAGTCATTGCCTGTTTTCAGCACTTGTCGAATGTATCATGTATTAACAAATTTGAATTTACTTGGCAGGGTGGTTGCTACAAACCGGCCTGCCCGTTCCCCTGACCTGAATCCACCTGATCAGACCTGGGCCGTTTGATTCCATCTACTGCCGCCACATCGTGCCACAGATTATCCTGGAGTTCCCAGAGGGCGTGAACCAAGTTTGGGAGAACATCCAGCTCATAAGGAGCACGTCCGGACGACATAACAGGTATGTGAAGGCCACACATCCTACTGAGTCATTTTTCAATTGAAGCATTTCCACAGAAGTTGAATCAACCTCTGATTGGACATTTTCTATTTTATCTTGCGTATGAATTCTGAATCCAGACTTCTGAGGCTTAAAGGTTTCAATTTCCATTGTGCGTTCTGATGTTATTGTGTTCTCAACATGTTGAACAACCGTACGTCATATTGTCAGGTGTATTCAAATGACACAATGCAAAGTCATTCACTAAACTGCATCTTTTCCCCCTTCAGTTTATTAGAAATGAATGTTTTGATCAAATTCTTCCGCCAGTCTTATCAGTCCAGCCATACATAACCACTCTGTCTTTCACACATACAGTTACCGCAGCGTCATCAGTTAGTGTATCTTACAGGTCATTTACAATCCCGGATCTTTACAAAAATAAAGTCTCAAAATCAAGTATTGCAATCAAAATGAATGAAGACCATCATAGGAAGGTGACATCGATCCTTTTTCGAACAAAAGAAAACGTCCAGATCCCCGGTAACTTGCGCACGTCATCGCAATCCCTTGCGCCCGCCTCGCGCTCGCCGTAGCAGAACGTGATCTTGAGGCAGAGACATATTTTGTGCACATGCGTGACATTCAAATTAAGCTTTGCGACAAAGGCCAACACAAATACGTTATTATTATTACTCTCCAAATGCCAACTCACATGCACAAGATAAAAGGTCAAAGACCCCCCCCCCCGAGCGAATTAATAACGGCACCACTTGTAACGCAAATGTCATGAAAAGACCCATGTTGTCTCAGAAGGGGACAGCAAACGTTTCACTCAATGGAGAATCGATCTATTCGGTTCAGCCGGGTCGCTCGAGTCAAACGGCTGCCAAATGTCAAACTCAATACCTGATAATCAACTCTGAAATATTTGTTGTGTTCTTCTTCGGTCGGGCAATTGTCCAAAACACTTTTGGAAAAACGGCGGCATAAAATGGCTGCAATTCCTAAATGGCTGCGGTGAAAATATTTGATAAACAATGTTGTATTTGACTTTGCGATATGACTATTTGGTGAAGCTTACGCAAAAAAAGCATTAGTTCATATACATAGAAATTGTAACTACTTTTTTTTTCTTTTTTTTTTAATTTGTGCAATAATTTGCATGTGGCGTATTGCTGCTGTTAGTAAATCTATTAATACACAATTTGGCGACGGGGCAGATCTTATTTGTATGGATGAGATTCATTTAAGAGTTGGTGAAAAGAACAGAAATTCCGCATGCCCAAATTCCACTTATATTATTTTATTTACTTTCAATTTTAAACTGAACGACAACGAACATGATCTGAAATGATGATAACCAGCACCAAAAAGTCTCCCTGTGGACTCAGTTGAAGATGTTGCTCATGTCTAACATGGAAATGATTCTGCAAGCAGCCCAGTTTAATGTTTGCTACACATAACGTCAGCTTTTTTTGGCAGCGTGTTTTGCACACGTCTGTTTCAAGGTCCGACAGTGCAAACAGAGATAGTTGAGCACCTCATATTGACACAACCTCCCATTTGTGTTCCCTTTACTCTGTTAATATAGACATGGAAAAAAACCCAAAACAAAACTATCATTTAGTAGTGGTGTATTGTGTGTAATTGGGTGCCTTGTGGGCATCTTAGCTGTCCTTGTGCAAGGTTTGATGAAGGTGAAGATAAAGTGGTTTCTTGGTGAGAAGCTGAAGTTTCTTCCTCTTGAAGTCGGTGGGCTTCTTGTACCTGGAAAAAAACAAAATGATGGGAGTTCGGTTCGAGTCTGCAAAATTTGTTAGGTTGATTTCAGAATCTACATCCGTGGCTCTCAAACTGGGGTCAGCGAGATGTTGCTTGGAGATCCGCAAAAAGATTCGACTATCCTATTCAATTTATTTTTGGAAAAATAGTAGTTGATCAAGAACATGTTGTCAAAAAGGCAACCCTCGCTAAATAACAAAGGAATCATGTGCAAAACGGACTTACAGCTCAATCACAATGGGTCCAGGCTTGATCTCGTCCATTTCCAAAAAGGCAAAACATTTTGTGCTGGTAAACCTCTTCTTGGGTTTGTAGTGCTTGAATTCAAAGAAAATAGCTGCCCCTGCAGATGACAAGTTTATATTGTTTGAAAACTTGGTCCCTCAAGCATTGTGTCTCACCCGGGTCAGAAAACATCGGGGCGAGATGTATCGTTTTTAAGGACAAAGCAAAACGCGTGAAAGCTCAGTGCAGTGGCATTTTGAGTCAAAATAGAGCTGTACCTACATCACGGAATACAAAAATGATTCATTTTTATTTAACGGTAATCAATTTTTTTTCTCCCAATCAATTTTTGCTTTTTAATTTATCATCATTTGTAGATTGTGTAACATTTTGCCCATGCTTGTGCTCTCCTGTCACCTTTAGGTAGTCTCTCCAGATGCCTTTGGATCTCCACGTCCATACCGAAGTGAATGCAGAGGTCTTCCTTCTTGGTGGCTACGGGGGTGTCCTGTACCGGGTTCAAGTCCACCCCATTTGAATCTACACGCGCAGAAACAGAGATGGCGTGCCGGATTTTCCAAGATAAGGATCATTCACACCAACGCTGATAAGAATGAGAGAGGTGCTGTCGTTGTGTGTTTTTAGTACCTTTGACGCTAATGGTCATGTACGGGTCGATGCATTGCCCGGCATCTTTCAGACCAATTTTTTCTATTCGTATCGTCAGCAGCGTCATTCCAGGCTCGGAGGGTAACCGTGGTAACAAGGTACCTTCAGGTGGGACAATGATGTCAGATTAAAAAAATAAAAATAAAAATGTTCAACCAAGATAAATCAACTTTTCACATTGTGTTGATCCCAGGAGATCTTGCTACCCCAATCTAAGCCATGCGCATAACGGCAGCATAACTATACTTTGATGCTAAGGTCCTTCCTACCTTGTGAGGCTGGGAAGAAAGGAGGCAGGCAAGAATGAGAGGTGAAGTCATGCACAGCACAGCACCGACAGGACAGAAAACACAGACGGCCACATCAAATGGGACACGGTGACTTCAACCGGGCAGGCAAAAGGGGACGCCGTGTTTCTTTTGGTTTTAAAAGTACCGGGAGCTCTCGGGGGGAATGCTTCTGTAGAGCCGGCGACTGCGGCGGCATCTTCTTCCTCCAGCTCCAGGTTCTCCTCTTCACCGGGGGCGAGGATTTTTCTAATGAGGATGTTCATGAGTCAATACTAGCGTACATACAAAACATACCGAAAGATGCTTATTACCTCAAGGGGACTGGTTGGACATCGAAGGGAAATTCTTTAGTGTACGTCAATAAATTCTGAATGACTACGGACAAAAAGGACATTGTGTGCATCAGTCGAAAATGATGAGCGTCACCGAACTGCAAACAAATGGCGGTCAGTGACTCACTGCTTTCCAGTTTCTTCAAGTCTTCCAACTTGAAGTCCTCTGTTGACTGCGTGCTCTAAACACACAAATCGGAATTACGACTGCCGTCAAATGTTTGTGTACCCTCATAGTTACACATTTTACCGCATGAAATGAACCAAAGCACACATACAAATCAATCAAATCATAAGAAGATTGTTTGGAAGGACCCAGTCAGAGCCCAGACCTAAACTTGTCTGAAAGTAATTTGGGACAAAATCTGTGTTATTATTAAAATAGTTTTATCAGTTTTAGCATATGGCCTCTGGAGTTATTGGTACATGTCACACTAACCTGCAAACTGATACTCCTCATCTCTAGGCATGTTGCAATCTTCCCTAAATTTTTCTGAAATGCAAAAAAACATGATAAAGACATGATCCCTGTTTACACAACGCACTAAAAATGTCTACCTTCTGCTCTTCTGTGAAGTCTGATGAGTTTGATGACTGCACCTCTTTTTGCAGTTGCCTCGCAAGACTGGAGATTAAACAAGAATATTTTTTTTAAATCAGCAGATAAAATAAATTGAATGTTCGATGCACATTTCCACCCCCTGGTGTTCAGAGAGCAATGCGTCCTAATCTGAAACCTTACTATTACAGTATTCTTGTAATTTTACGCTTACTTAGCTGGAGAAAAATGATCACGATTGACTTCGGTTTTCCTGAGGGATGGGTCTTTTTTATTGTCAAGTATTTCCTCTCAAACCACAGGAAACCCACCCATAACAATGAGAGGGTGTGGCTGATATTTCTCAATACTCTGAGGAATATTGTTGGTGAATTTCTGCACATAGCAACACATGCACGCTGAGGAAGGAAGACAGTAAGATACTCACGCGCGCGCACGCAACAAATGCCACATCACGTCATGTGTGTGGAAGATTCACTTAAATGCTCCCGAGGTCTGAATGACAGCTCGGGAGCCAACTTGTGAGAGCTCCCCAATGGCTCCAACCGATGGAAGGCTGTATGCATGCATGCATGTTGGAGGCAGGACACTTACATTTGGTACTCGTCTATAGCCTCCACTAATTGTCCCCACGAGTCAAAGTCCGTGCCTTTTCTGAAACTGGCGTGCCATTTCTGCAGAGTCTTGTTGACATCAGACATGTTGGTAGGGCGGGTACCGGCGGCCGACTCAGGGCAGCATAGCCGAGAACAACTTTCATCTACGGGGGACTTCTTCGGGGCTTGAGCCGCCTCCACCGCGGGGCTCTCTCCAGCAGTTCGGGGACACGCTGACTCACACGGCGACCACTGACACGCTGCCCATAACCGGAACGGACCAAACCCTTTCTGTCTGCTCTGTGCGCACCCTGGAGTCCCATCCGCGAGGAGGAGAAGCCACCGGAAGTCCCGCCTCGTGCTAAGGGTGCGCCCGATTTGAAACACGGTATTGTCCGATTAGGGGCGGGTGGAGACACTGTCAAGAAACAGGACGTACTGTAATCATTTCTACGAAACTCACTTTTAGGCTAAAGATATAATCCAACAGTAAGAAGAAACTAGCTCGGTGCACAATTTGTGCAAATATTGTACATGTGTTCGTCTGCGCCAGCGACGTGTAGTGACCATAAAGGTTGAGAAAGTTCGTTATGTCGTTCGTAACCTAGAAACCTCCAATATCGAAACCTTGGAGTAATTTCCAGCATATCCGATTGAGGTGCTTTGTTTTGAAAATATCCCAGACCATTTCCGGTATTGTAAATCGTAACTCTACGCAGCTGTGACATCATTAGTACGTCAGCTACGGGACGGACACGCTGCAAGTAAGCAACATCGTTGAGGTACGACATGAGATAAAGATGGCTAAAGTCACGACGGACTCCTCTGCGGATGATGAGGATGACATTTTGGACTCAGAAATTATTTGTTTGATGAGAGTCGGGAGGAATTCAGACTGGCTTCGCTTGGTAGAAAACACAGAGGTACGAACACTTTGCTAGCGTCGTTAGCTAGCTAATAAAATAACCTGTAGTGAAGCCACAGGTGCTAGTATGTAGCCACAAAGACTGACAAAAAATACCGAGGCACTGACTCGTACCTTTCTTGTGTTTAGGTTTCTATTGGCCGTGGTTTTGACGTGACCTACCAACTCTTGTCTTCAAGTTACCCTTTAATGATTTCTAGGCTGCACTGCACATTTTCTCAAAGAGAGGATGGACACTGGACAGTGACAGACAAGGAGGTACGCAGTCGTGGGACTGAGATGTCAATTAGAGGCCTAGTGGTGTAATTAGATGTACAACATGGAACGTGGAATCACATACATGATGCAGGTTTGCAAAAGGGATATCAGAGTCGCTGTGGTAAATCCAGCTAATTCATTACCATACCGTAGCATAGCGTGTGGCTTGAGGTTCCATTTTTAGCGTTTGTACATATCTGTAGGCCCAGAAAGCCACAATGTTTGCGATGTATGAAGTATGTTTTCTTTCATTTTGTGATCACTGTCAAGAGTCTGAATGGTGTGTGGGTGAATGGGATCCGCATACCCACTCAAGAAGCCCACCTGCTTCAGCTTGGCGATTCTATACATCTTGGCGTTCCTGTCATGGGGTCCAAAGTAGAGTTTGACTACATCCTTGTGCAGCGACCCTTCAGAGAAATTCAGCACCACTTGGCAAACAGACAGAAAGAGCCCGCAAAAGTGGTGAACATACCTAAGAAATACAAGAGAAAACTCACTGAAGAAGAAGTGGAGCCATCAACCTCAAAGGCCAAATTGTACCGCTGCTCATATCCGGACAAGTCGTTGGCACGGCCATGCCCTCTGCCACAAGGCAGGCGCTACCAGCGCTGCAGTTGCCCTCAGTTGGAGGAGGCCACTCCCAAGCTATATGTGGAAGAGGCGGACCGGGACTGCAGTGGCTTAGATGTCCCCTGCGACCTGGACAACTTGAAGATGTACGTGACGACGCACACGCTCTGTTTGCTATAAATATCTAAAGGTTTTCTTATTCTTATTATTGCAGGTACAGCCACAACATTTTGATGCTCAGGGAGCAGGTGGACAACACGCAGAGGCAGGTCGCCTCGCTGGAAGGTGAACCCCAATTGGGCGACCCGTTCAGGGAGGAGCAGATCAACCAGCTACAGTGGCAGCTGAAGACCCTACGAAGCAAGATGCAGAAAATGGAGATGTTTGAGAGGTCCTTCAGTCAAGCTAAGAGGCAACAGGAGGTGAGAACATGCTCAAAGAAAGTCAACAAAATTTTGCTACACCGTGACCTGATTTGTTTATTTATTTGGTCTGGATTAAAAGTGAATAATAATGAAGTTCTTCTAGTCTAGCATCGGGATGTTTAATAGTACTTTTTATCATGAATGGAATTTAAGAGAAAAAGATGTGTAGTGACGCCACTCGAGCGAAGCGCGCCTCAGCAGTCGATAGTCCGCTGCTCTCTGCTGTGCGTGCGTCAGCGCGAACATGTACGCATACGCACGTCTTTTGGCTTCAACCAATCAGCGCCGACGTTACAGATCAAAGAGCTTTGATCTACGAGAACAGCTAAGCTAGCCTATCCGAGACAACAGCTAAACTAGTACAGACGACACGACGCTCGAGGTCGGATGGACACGCTCTCGTCGGTAATCTGTGTGTTTTCATTTTTTTATGTCCAAATATATATTTTTCTACGACAATAGCCGTCTTGTCCACTGCGTCTTTTTTCGTTCCACCGGGGTTTACCGAATGTGTTTATGAAGAGACCAAAATCTCTTTCTGTCAGCCATGTAGAAATTGAGTTAGCATCCAATGTTTAACCAGTTGTTTTATTCCCTCTTCTGGATCCAAATGCTTAGAAAACACAGCAGCAGAAGGAGCTGATGGAAAAACAGTTGGAAGATGCCTTGCAAGAGGTAAAATCGCACACGATACGCAAATGAGAAATACATTCGATGTAAGATTTTCCTACTCATTGCTCAATTTGTTCTCAACACCCATTAGCAGAGAAAAGTAATGGATGAACTTGCACTTTCTCGGACAAGGTTCGAGGAGATTCTGTTGGCCAAAAACAAAGAGCTCGAAGTGACTAAGGTGGGTTGCGACACCGGGAATCTCATTCGTGCGCCGCATTTGTAGGGCCTCATGCCATTTCTGTTCCCAGGAGGAAAAGGAAAAGGCGAGGGCCCAGAAGGAGGAAGTTGTCACACAAGTGACAGAGGTTCTGGAAAACGAGCTTCAGTGCATTATCTGCTCTGAGCTGTTCATTGAGGTGCGAGTCAGTCCAGTCTGCTCACGTTTTGACTCACGTGTCAACCGATACCAAACCAAAAGGATGCGCTTTTTTCTCCTTTGGTGTCTTCAGGCTGTCATCCTGAACTGTGGTCATAGCTTCTGTTGCCATTGCATCAAGGAGTGGCGCAAAAAGAAAGAGGAGTGCCCCATCTGCCGACAGGCCATCAAGTCCCAGACGCGATGTCTTGCACTGGACAACTGCATCGACAGCATGGTGGAGAACCTCAGTTTGGATATGAAGGCCAGGCGGCAGTCGCTCATCTCTGAGCGGAAAGGAGAGATGTGCGTTAAATCGGTCCAAGACGGAGGCCCCTAAACCTCAACATAAGCGTTATGCTCTGCTCGAAGGGAGTGACATTTTTACATCCTTTCATCAGCCTGTTGGGATGACAATGACACTAGTGATAATAAATTCTGACAGTAATTAAAAATACACTGGGTCTTTTTTCGCGGTCGTCATGACAGTCGTGCACATTACTACGATGGTCTTTTTCGACCAAAAATAAGTCGAGGGTAATTCTGAGTAGATCGAAGCGTCACAAAACCTCCCCATGCACCCACGTGACATCGAAACGTTGCGCATTGAGAAAACATTACAACTCGATTCAGGAAGCAGTTTACGTGAGACAGAATGTATGAATGACGGCAAGACCTTTAACGTTGCCCAGCATGTTGGATGTGGACTTTGTGGAAACAAAAATGCCTTTTTTTGTTTTTGAAATGTAATGTCAGCATATCAGTGTCAACATGTGAATGTGCCCCAGGTCACACAGTAATTCTCTGTACGGTTCATGAGCATTTTTTTTTCTTTTCCTGTTAGTTCGCCAGCAGCTGGCCCTGAACATGTGATTGTGATACAAGATGAGGGGAGCAGCAGCAGCAGCGATAGCACTAGCGATGGCGGCAGCTCTCACAACTCTATGGAGACCCACGACAGGACCGATTGGACCTCCAGTCCTCATAACAGCACTTCCTCTCATCGTGAGTTTGAAGTTAGTTAGAATGTGATGGACATTTTGTTTGACGCAAAAAGAAAAAAAAATACCATGCTGGCAGTGCACCTGTATCATCTTTTACATCCAAATTTCAATCCACAGCAACAAATAAGGAACTTGGCTCATTTGTCAGTATTTTGGGAAAGTTCTTGTGAAACCATTTGAAAAATGTTGGCTTTTTTTTTTTTTATTCTTTCTATTTTGCAGATGTGTTTGAAATCCAGGATGAGAGCAGCACCACCATCAGCAGCAGAAGTAGCAGTTGTGAAAGTGACAGCGATAGCAGCTCTTCTGAAGATACTCCAAACAGCTCCCAATGGGCCTCCAGATCGCTTCGCAGCGGTTTCCGTTACAGTGAGTGAAATGGTGGAGACTTAATGGGGAATTGGTTGTATTAGTATTTTTTTTTTAATGTTGTGTATCAATCTCACGATCTAGTGACACTTTTCCGGATGCTCTTATGGCTAAGGTGAGTTGACAAATGATAAGAGAGAGAATGAATTGTACATCCCCAAATCAGATGTTGAGTGTCGAAATGAATGGACTCACCTTCAAGGCACACATTAATCTTTACTTCTGTCATCAGAGTTGATGGGCAGTACACACTTTGTCGTTGTACTACACGGGTGAATTTGACATTTTGTAACTTGTATTAACATCATCCTAGTCTTAGAACCTCAACTCCAATGAACAAATCTTTTTTTCTGGTATGCTTCGCAGGTTTGAGGACCATCTATCGTGATGAGAACAGCGATTAACAGCCGGTGTCCATAACAACAGCCTCAGCTCTGTGGACACCTGCAACTGGACTTGTTCGGATTCCTGTTTCGTAATAGTTATTCCTATTGTTGATGCATTTCATGTTAAGAGCTGTGTTTCTAAAAAATGTTTTCCAACTAAATCAATAAAAAACGTTTCCGTGTTTTTTTTCTTTAATTGACTGGCCCTTCGTCCATTTCTTGCTGCCAATTTATTGCTTAACTAGTTGTCTCCTGGTGCTCAGCCATTGCGTTTCCCCAAATGTCCTGCGGGTGGCAGCATTTTGTTAATCCTTTGAAGAGCGTTCGGTTACTACGGTAACGCGTGGCTCACCGAGACCCCTGGTATGTGACTTCAGATTGAATACGAATTTAATTTTACCAACAGTGTGGGACAAAGTATATTACCGTGAGTCTTGCCCCATTAAACCGGCAGAAGAGTTTACACGTGCCTTGTCACAGTTAGCGAAGGTCGACTTGACTTTCGTACAAAGTGTGTATTAGCATGACGACTTAATATTAGCAAGATGACTCATTCAGTGTGTTCTTTCAGACAAATTTGTTACTTCTTGTGTGTGTGTGCGTGAATACTTGTTGCTTGACTTTTGTCGCATTTTAACGGTGCAAAATTCTTGGTAGTATTTTGTTGACATTTATTTTCGCCTTCATAAATTAGACTTGAGATCAAGATAATTCACGTCATTTAAACATTGTGTGTTCAGAAACGTTTGTGTCATATTTTAGCCTAAGTACGTAAACATTCTGGTACCATGGATAACACTGACCGACTAGCTTTAAAATAAAAGTTGTGATTTACAATGACATTCACAAAGTGCATGATAATATTTACCTTTTCTTTTGTAGTCCCCCACAAACCCCCTGCAATCATGTCGAGGCTCACTGGAGGCCCAACCATGCTGGCTGTGGACAGCAGGAGATTAAGGAGAATCATTGCCGAAAATCCAAACTGGTCCTTGGGCCTTGTGCCCTTTTTATCAACCCTCTGCCTCGAATGCATTGTGAGAAACTTTGAGGGTATGTCATTCTTTTTACTTGAAACCTTCATATCATATCACAAGATTTTAGAGTCATCAACTTCAAGCGCTATCTGTGACAGGCACCCCCATCTATGAGGAGCTTATACCCAGCCAGAGAGACTTTGTGCAGGAAAGACTGTCGCCCTCTCTACCCCTTCCTGTGACCGCCAACTTGGTCGATGATGGCGTCTACTGGCGCCGCTGCTGTGAGCAACGGTGGGAAATTTGTGACGTGTCTCACTACAACCACAGCTGGAAGCGAATGTTTTTTGAGAGGCACCTGGAAAATATTATTGAGCATTTCATCCCAGAGACAACCCCACTTAGGATCGTCAGTGAGGAGATCCCACTGTGCGAGGCTTACGTAAGGAGGCTGGACATCTCCCAGATGTTGCCGCCCATCAAGGAGGCCAAGATTGGAAAGGGCGACGCCGTCGACTGGCTGAGCGAAACTGACTCGGACGCAGCTCACATGGAACACTTTGACTTCCGCACTCTCCTGAATCAGCTGAGCTGCCTGGAGGAGTTGCACTTGACCTACTGGGTCAAGCAGTGTGGGATGAACTTTGAATGGAAGATGTTTGAGATGGCCGAACGAGACTGCGAGACTCTCGCCATGGCGCTTGAATCCTGCAAAACCTTGAAGGTACAGTGATTAGAACTGGAGTTGCATACACAAGTACAGAGAAAAACAGAATTTTCAGGTTTATTTTTTTTCTGATGAATGCATTTAATAACCCCTGTTAGTCATTTGAAACACCGCCTAATCTGCTTCTCATTCCTACAGGTCGTACGACTCTACGAAAGTCACATTGATGATCAAAAGTGCAAGTTGCTGGCTAAACACCTAGTGGACCACCCCTCCCTGAGAGAGCTCAACCTTTCCCACAATGTGATCGGAGATAAGGGGGCCAAGGCTGTCGGCAAGCTGCTCAACAGCAGCAAACTGGAGATCCTCAACTTGAGCGACAACATTATTCGAGACGTGGGAGCCAGCGCCATTGCCGAAGCCTTGTTCAATAACTGCACGCTTTTGTCCCTCAACCTCAGAATCAACCGCGTGACCGACGAGGGCGGGCAAGCAACCGCCAAGGCCTTGCTGAACAACAGCACCCTGCTCCATCTGCACTTGGGAGCCAACCTCTTGACTGGGCCCACTGCCATTTTGCTCTCAGAAGCGCTGGCTAAAAATCAAACGCTCAAGACCATTAACCTCTCCTGCAACAAACTGGGCGTGGTGAGTGTGTTTCATGTCTTAAGATATTTCAAAGATGGCCATCGTGACGGGCACGCCATCAAAACAGCCGTCATATTCGGATACCGGCCGGTCCCGGCTCAACTTCCAAAACGTCACATGACCAAACTCAGAAAACAGGTGAGCCGGGATTGTTCGTTACCTGAGCCCTGAGCAACTGTGATGTCATTTTCAGTCGGCCACAAGTGGCAAAATGGCCACCGCCCGATTTGGATAAAAGCAAGTGGATTTTGCGCATAATTCATTTTCCACAAATACATTTTTAATCGGAACACTGTGGGGGTGTATCGATATTATTATTATTATAAAGAAAAATTCTGAGTTGACTTCCCCTTTAAGAGCATTTTTTAATTGTACTCTATTTATATTTGAGACGTTCTAGATCACATTTAGGGAGTTTTTCAGTAGATTTAAGTATTTACGTCAATTTTACTTTGTATGTGGTACTTGGTGTTAAAAGTTTGAGAACCCCCGCTTCAGGATGAGCAACACTTTCCCCGAATCACACCGCATTTGTTTCCCTTGTCTGTATGCGATCAGGATGGAGGCAAAGCACTGGAGGAGGCCATTGCTCAAAACAGCTGCTTAACAGAATGCGACGTCCGTCTGACAGATATCGACGAGCAGAGCGCCGGGATTGTTCGTTACCTGAGCCCTGAGCAACTGTGATGTCATTTTCAGTCGGCCACAAGTGGCAAAATGGCCACCGCCCGATTTGGATAAAAGCAAGTGGATTTTGCGCATAATTCATTTTCCACAAATACATTTTTAATCGGAACACTGTGGGGGTGTATCGATATTATTATTATTATAAAGAAAAATTCTGAGTTGACTTCCCCTTTAAGAGCATTTTTTAATTGTACTCTATTTATATTTGAGACGTTCTAGATCACATTTAGGGAGTTTTTCAGTAGATTTAAGTATTTACGTCAATTTTACTTTGTATGTGGTACTTGGTGTTAAAAGTTTGAGAACCCCCGCTTCAGGATGAGCAACACTTTCCCCGAATCACACCGCATTTGTTTCCCTTGTCTGTATGCGATCAGGATGGAGGCAAAGCACTGGAGGAGGCCATTGCTCAAAACAGCTGCTTAACAGAATGCGACGTCCGTCTGACAGATATCGACGAGCAGAGCGCGTCCATCATCAACCAGGTGGTTCGCGCCAATAAGAGCGCGTCCCTCACCCGCCGGGTGGTTCGCGCCAACGGGAGCGCCTCCGTCATCAACCAGGCGGTTTGCGCCGACGAGCACTTAGAGCAAGAACAAGCCGATGAGGAGGAAGCACAAGACGACGAGGGAGAATCACAAGATGGGGAAGGTCAACCCCAAGACGATGAGGTCCAACCAGAAGACAACGAGGTACAAGAACAAGATGACGAGGTACAAGAACAAGATGACGAGGGACAAGAACAAGATGACAAGGTACAGTAGATGTCGGCCACGTAAAGCCTCTTTTATTCTCTTAAAATCTCTTGACGTGCTTTATACTTGCAACTGAGCAAAAATGCCGTTTCTATTTTTTGCACCAACAGGCACCCTCTGAGGCGCGCGCTTCCACCAGCAGCACCTGATGTCTTTAGGTAGATCTACTTACCTCATTTCTTTTTATTGAATACTTTGATGCATCATATCACACATAATTGGCCAACCAAGTAAATCCAAGTGTCCAAAACACTATCTAAATAAACGTCCTTAACGGGTGCATAGCCCACCAATGTTTGCTTGAAAGCCAAGTCTAGACGGGTCAAGTCACAAGAGTAATTTCGACCGTCTTCAGAAGGAGACACTTTGCTTAATACTTTCACTGGACAACTAAAACATGATTGAACAGTTGTGGCAGTGTTTCACGATCTTAAAAAAACATTGCCAGCCAGCCTCTTGTAAGCGATGCCTTTATTTTAGTCCGGTTGTCCGCCCCCCCCCCCCCTCTTGTTTTATGCAGAGTAAGCCTGACAGTCTCCAGACAAGAGTCCAGCATTCAATAAAAAAGACAAACTGCCCTGAACACTTGACAAAAAAAAAAACAAACAATCAAATGGAGTCATTACATGGTAAAGGGTTCAGTGCGTTTACGAACAGTCATAATATCATTTTCCAGTCTTTTATGGAGCCGTTCTATTCCAGTAGATAGTTTGGTATACCTGTAGCTTATTACAGTTTGAAGCACAACTTGGCTATGGCGTCTTTACGTATAAAAATGCAAGCATATCGTTGGCTGAAATATCCTTACGCTGATTCTTGGAAACGTACGCATGGCGAAACTCTCGTCCTTTCTGGAGGACACAAACACACCCCAACATGTTTTTGAAAGTCATCTGAGGAGAGTGTAAACGGTTCGAGCTGGGGAAAAAAAATAAATATATCACAATATAAAATCAAGCAAGGAAACAATCAGTAGATGTGACTACTTGTTCACACCCTCTCACTGCTTTTACTACTACATGCTATTACCTTAAAATCAATTCAGAAATCATGAATGGGCTATTATGTAATGCGAATAAAAAAAAAATCTTAACTTTAAACATACCTTGAATAACCCAATAGCCACTTTTGCAAATAATGCAGCTTTTTCATTCCCCACACAGTTTCAATCTACACATGAAATCACGTTATGGTATATACAGGGTGTTCTATTAAAAAAAAAAGTTTGCTAATAACTGCATGTCCTTGGTCACGTGGATACTCATCTGTTGCTTTTCACGGACTTAACGGCTCGATCTCATTCAACCTCATCTTCACCCTGAGAGCGATGTCTTCCTTCATATCCGTTTGAAAAGTTGCGGCACTCCCGATTTTCATGAACATTCCCTCGGCCTGACATCGGCATCGGAGCCCTCAGTTCTTTCGAGCCATCTTCTCGTATTATTACATGTGACAATATCAGTAGCGAGTGCAGCCCCCCCAAAGCCTATTTTCAGCGTCTTTGAGAGCCAGCTCTCTGCCCGTCTCTCTGATATGCATCAGCAGCTGCCACAGCATCCAGCTTTGCCGCAGCTCCATTTCACCATCAGGAAGGCAGAAAAAAAAATGTTCATTGTAGTTGAAACAATAAAAAGAGGACATGCACACAGACACACCCAAGTGTAAACTTGATTTGGAGGAAAGAGGGGAAGATGTTTTGTTGGTAATAGTTCAATTGCTAGGCACTTAAAGAGGTAGGCTGAATAATAATTCAAAAATAATAATACAGTATTGCCACGTATTAAAAGTCAACATGTAACTAGTTTGACAGAGTTCTGACATGACAAGCTTTTAATGGTGTCTAATTGGCATTTATACAACATTTACAGCGAGTGTGAAAGCCTTGAAAAAAATGAGTGTAGTGCTTGTGTCCTTTGGCGCTCTTCTGCTGAATTATTAATAATCCGTGTTGCTATATTTACCAAGCCAGGAAGTGTAATGTCATCGCAGCCGAGCCATTTCTGCTAATGGGTTATTTCAGCTTCGCTATCAGGCATGAGGAAACCGTTTTGATGTCGTTCTGGCGTTACATTTGTTTCCGATTTTTCTCCGAAATCTCAGTTCGCTGTGATGCAGCGGAACGCCGACGAAGGACGTTACAGAATTAATTCATACGTTTTCATGTCAACTTTGTTTTAACATGTGCGTGACAAGATAAGTTGAAACATGCCTATTAAGTGATTCGCAACCAGGGTTGTGTGCTACACAAAAAAAATTCTGTTGTCCGAGGGTCATAATGAGGTCTCCACGCAAGAGCCGTTTCTGTGCAGGGAGCGATGGTTGTGATTGAGGCAGCCTTCGTTGTTGTGCACGATAAGCACGGGAAAGTAGAGAGCATCCTGGTATGCCGGAGGGCTCTCCTCGCCGCTCTGCTGGCCCGACAGGCAGCGCGTGCTTTCCGTGGGTCGGCTCGGGGGCTCGTTCAGACTCCCGCTGCTCCTCCACAGGCAGCTGCGCCTGGAGCCGTACAGACGCCCCAGCGAGAAGCGACTGGCGCTGAAGGGCAGGCGCGGGCTCGCCGTGTTGCAGATGCTCAGGGCGCTGCGAGAAAAGATGGAGGAGCTGCTGATGGCGCGGTGGCAGCGCTGGCAATTCTGCCTGTAGCTGCCGTAGCGATGACAAACAGAGTAGTTCTGGCAACTGCTCGAGAGCTGGGCCAGGTCCATGAGAACCGCCTCGGAGTAGCTGGGCACTAGTTGCTGGTTGGAGCGGATGTGCCACTCCAGCTCCGTGCTGTCCACCGTGTTGACCCGCGGGACGTGCCTGCAATAAGGACGCTCCTCGGAAGGCGTCAGCGGCACGTAGTCGAAGCCGAAAAGCTTCTCCACGTGGTAGTGGACGCAGGCGGTTCGGAATTCCGTCAGCACCCGTAAAGGCCAGGAGAGAGTCAAAGCCGCCGCGGTCCAGAAAGCGGAATGCGACGCGTACCAGGGAAGGTGTCGCGGATCGGTGAAGGCAATCATGTGTTCCTTAAAGTCCACATTCTTCAGGTGCATCCCCTCGCGGGCCTCCATGTAGTCGTCCAGGCCCTCGTTCTCTGTGAAGAACCTGGCCCGCTGCGTCAAGTACGAGTTCTCCGACTCCACGTTGGCAAAGCTGAAGCACTTGGTGAACCTCAGCTTGGTGATCGCGAAGCGCTCCAGGCCTCGCAGGTGCTTTGAGATGTCCTTCACCCCGCAGTTCGCATAGTCAAACTCCGCTTCGGCCACGTGCGTGTTGACCCTCTCGTGGTAGACCTGAGTGGTGGTGTAGGCGTCTCCGTTGCGGTATCGCGTCACCTGCCGCGTCCTCCTCACGTAGTGGTAGCTGATGGCCTTCCACCAGATGCACGGCGTGGCCTGCTTCATCCTCTCGACTCGCTCGGCCACATTGTCCACGTCCACTTTGTACTGCATCTCGTTCCTGGTGTAACAGTGCCAGCACTCCACGAGGTAGACCACGTAGAGCATGACCAGGAAGGCCAGGGGGATGTAAATGTAGCCGTTGGAGCAGGGACTATCGTGGTACATCATGGACTTCCCCTTGTAGGCGCTGTCGAAGGAGAGGCGTGTGACGGTGGTCACCTGGCACCAGGTCGTGGCTCCCACGCAGCCGTACATGAGCAGGGAGAGCAGCAGACATTTCCAGTGCGTCTTCTGACACAAGGACTTCAGCAGGGACTGTTTCCGAGGCCGCAGCTGCACACAGGAGGAGACGACCACGGTCAGTCGATGGCAATCTGCGTGGATTTGGTCACACAATTTCGCAGGCAAGAACCGTCAAGTTGCACGTTTCACTCAAGGTTTCTGGTCAAGTCCGCCGCAGAAGTAAGAATAAAACATCAGGTGTGGTAAGGGTAACGCCCTTTAAACAAAAAACTGCAACCAAGAAGTTGAACGCAGAAGCGAGCAGCAAAAATGTAGAAACCCACGATAACGCAAAGCAAAATTAAAAGAAAAAAAAAAAGGAGTAGCTGTGACATAGTTGGGAGAAAATATCTCTCGGAAGCTAAAAATGGCTCAAAATCAGAGACGCGTGCATATGAAATATTTAGTCAAATATGCAGTGTCGTAAGTGCTTTTTCATAGTTTATGCATGAGCGGTCGCACATGTCACAGTCTGCGCTTATTGCAAAGCAGAGACGAGCCCGTGATAGGCAGAAATCCCCAATGCGTGTCTGTCTGACTTTGCATGTTCTATGAAGTCAATGTGCATGCAAGTTCACGTCCATACTCGATGCCAAGCCGTTGATGGAGTGGGGGGGGGGCGGCAGAGTGGCTGTGTAGCGTAAAGCTGGTGGCGTCCTTCATCACCTCAGGGAAGAGCGAGCCCCGTGCCTGGATCATGAGTTAGTCACGCTTTTTTGGGAAGGCTGCCATGCAAACCTGGCAAGGATTCAAAAGTACCAGGAAGGCCGGATTATTGCTATACTACTGTATTCATTCAACAGCAAATGGCAGAATGGAAATGAAATAGAAATAAGGCGGTTGTGATTAAAAAAAAAAAAAAAAAGGCTAATTTTAACAAGAGGTTATTTCGCATGTGGTACTCCCCCTGCATCGAAGTGGACACAACAGTCAGCATCGCTGCATTGATGTATGGAATCCAACATGTCAGCAGCACTTCAAGAGACAGGCGAGCATCAATTATACACGTTGACGTCTAATGCTTCTCACTTCCATCTTGATCACAATTAATTTGACTTTGAATGAACTTCTAAAAAGCACCGTATGGTAATATTGACTCACCGATGGAAAATTTGGTCTCAAATGAACATTTACTTTACAAAAGGGTGATTTAGCTTGAAATGTGTCATCTGCACACTGCATGAATTTTCTGCAAAAGATACATGATGTCCCGCCTTGAAACATTACAATAGTGGACAATCGCTGTCATGCCTTTGATTTAAGTGCCGCTCTCGCAGTCATGGACACTTTGTCTTGACATAATAAGACCACTTATGTTATATAAAAAGCCTCTTGTGTAATGGATAAATTGGAGTTACAAGTTTGACTTCAGCCATCATTCCATATTGGATTCACATACATGCAGTTTGTGTTAAACTGTGCCGTTGGATGAATACAACATCCTCTGCACAGTCAAATACATTTGTAAATACAGGTCAGTGAGATTAAATATCGAAGGCATCGTATTTCAAAGTGAAATACAATTGAACTGTACAAAGTTATTTCAAAAATAAACCCCTTTGTTCCCCACAATCTGATTATTGTGATCAGATTATGAGGAGCAGAATGATCACTCCAATTACGGACGTAAGAATACATCATCACGTGGCACAAAACGGTATCGTATGCTTTTCTTTCCATGTTTTTTGTATTTCTGGTTTACAAATCCTCTTAAGATTGACATTTCGATGTTATGAATGCCTCAATGAAATGGTTTTTGAACTCGTGTACTGTGATACGTTGCTCAGCGTACTCTTGAACCTGCAAGACGTACCTGAACCCTATTTTGGATACCAATGATGCTCAACTTCACTAGTAATTGAAAATAAACCACTTTGTTCTGCACAATCTGGTTATTTTCACCAGATTGCGAGGAGCATCTGATTATTCCAATTCGAGGCTTGAATTCCCGCCCCATTTGGATCCAAATGAACGCGACTGATCCTCGCTCCTCACCTCAAGTCTGGGGCTGCCCGGCTCCGGCTCCGGCTCCTCTTCGGGGGCGACGGTGCAGGTGCTGCTTTCACCGGCCGCTGCGGCCGATGCTGGGGACATGATGACAAAAGAAGTCCGGCATGGAGCTCCACTTGAGATGGGACAAAAGAGGTGTGGGCGGTGTTGCCGAAAACCTAAACAAACGGGAAAACCATCCGACAAAGCGGCCGAGCCAGGAGAACCCCGAAGCGAACCTGAAACATCTTCCAGGTGGGCAGGGAAGACGAAACCCGTAGCGGGGGAGAGACCGAGCGACGAGACGTCTGGACGCCGAGACGAGAGCACTTCAAGGGACGCTCGGAAACGACAAAGGCGACCGTTGGGCCAGCTTCCCGTTCCCGGTTGTGGCCATGAAGGGGGGACAAAGAAGGCGGGCACGTGTGGTTTGACATGTCCGCGCCACCTCATAACAACGATGCGCGTGCACGGATCATACGTCCCCTCGTGGGGGTGGAGCTGCCACAGCGGAAGCGAACCCCCC